ATATATATATATATATATATATATATGGAAGGGAGTACCAACTCTAGCTGGAAGAAGGGGGACCCATAGCCTCGGAGGAAACCACGCATAACGCATTAGAGGGAATGTTTAGATTCCCTCCAATACAGTTTCTGTGTGCTTTTCTCCTACCACCCCCTTCCTTTTTTATTTTTTGTGCTTTATTATGCATTTGATGGTTACAAGATATACATGGGTTGATACAAAAATAATAATGCAAAAAGGTGCTTAAAGGTGCTTAAAGGTTATGGATCTCTTGAAAAACACAACAAATATATACAGGAGCATATATATATATGGAGCGGAGTCCGCTCCAATATAGAAGCATCAAGAAATATGGACCAATAGGCTTTCTACAATCACTTCTATTCAATACCCATTGTTTCATGTTCTGGCTTGTGTTGATGAAATTAATACCTTATTAAATACCACCTCACCCCATCCACCTCACTCAAATGTAGATATAAACAAAATCGGAGATGTGTAAGTTCTATTCAGTTGTGTATGTGTTAACTAAAGTCTTTGAAAATGTAATAAATTTTACGAAACGCGCTCAAGTGTCGCGTCAGACTAGAAATAAAAATGAATTTTGGAGAATTGATTTTTGAATTACCTCCAACAGTGAAAAGAAATGTACGAAAGATTGAGAAAATTCGTGTTAGAATTATTAATCTTACTTTTTCGGTCATATTTAATAATATATGTCTACAGGAAAGACTGCTACCAAAATATACTAATATATATATATATATATATATATATATATATATATATATATATATATATATATATATATATATATATATATATATATATATATATATATATATATATATGTGTGTGTGTGTGTGTGTGTGTGTGTGTGTGTGTGTGTATATATATGTATATATATGTTGTCGAATATGACCGAAAGGGTAAGATTAATAATTCTAACCCGAATCTTCTCAATATTTCTTACGTTTTTCTTCATTGTCGAGGGTAATTGGAAAATTAACTCTCCAAAATCCATTCTTTACATTTTATATTTGGTATGACGCCTAGAATCGTTTCCTAAAGCTTCTTACATTTTCAAAGACTTGGTTTACACATAACATACATACTGCTTTTTATTTGTTTTGGGTGAGGTAATATGACACAAATGTTTTGAGTGAGGTGGATATTAATTGGGTTTGAATGGCCTAAGAATGAAAGTAACTGCAGAAGACCTATTGACCCATAATTGCCCTTGCTGCTTCTTTGTTGGTTCGGGGTCTTAAAGTGGGTAAAATATTGTTGTACATTAATTGGCTAGTGTTGACTTTTTTAATGTATAGTTCCTCGCTGTTGTCGAGTCTCCTGCAATCGCTGTATTTATCTATGATTTCCATGATGCTTGTTAAGATTTTTCTGGTGATGGTCTGGTTGTGTGAAGAGTTTATATGTTCCTTGATGGAGCCCTGTTCTTTGTGCATTGTTAGTGGCCTAGAAAGAGAAGTTGTTTGTCTTGCCTATATACCGAGTTCTTTGGGGCTTACAGTCCCCAAGTGGGCATGTGAAAGCATAGACGACGTTGGTTTCCTTCAATGCATTCTGTTTGATGTCTGGGGAGATTTTCATAAGTAGGTTGGCCGTCATTTTGTTTTTGTAGTAAATTGTCAATTGTATTTTCTGATTTTTTTCTGTAGGGATAACGGTCCCATTAATATCTTTCAGGATCCTTTCCTCCGTTTTATGAGCCGTCGAAAAGACGTTCCTGTAAAACAGTCTACTAAGGGGTACAAGTGTTGTTTTAGTTGACTCTTCAGAGGTTGCATGGGGTTTCACCTTTCTTTTTATGACGTTTTCAACAAAACCGTTAGAAAAGCCGTTGTTGACTAGGACCTGCCTTACCCTACAGAGTTCTTCATCGACTTGCTTCCATCCTGAGCTGCGGCTGAGAGCTCGGTCGACGCAAGCATTGACAACACTCCTCTTGTAACTGTCTGGGCAGTCACTGGTGGCATTGAGGCCCATTCCTATGTTTGTTTCCAGAGTATAGACTGTAGTGTGGAAGCCTCCGTTCTTTTCCTTGACTTTTACATCGAGAAATGGCAGCTTCCCATCATTCACCATCTCGTACGTGAAACTCAACACAGAGTTCTGCTCGAATACCTCCTTCAGCTGCTGCAGACGTTTGACATCAGGTACCTGCATAAAAATGTCGTCAACATACCTGCAGTATATGGCGGGTTTCAAGTTCATGTCAAGCGACCGAATCTACTTCCTTATACATGTGCCCATCTGGACTCAAGAAGGTTGCCTCTTTAGTGCAGGCTTGGAGTAGCTTCCTTAGTATGCGTTTTGGTATGTCAAGAGAAGTAGAAGCCGGATCACGACACACTCTATCCGCTAGCATCCCGATTGTTTCAGCCCCAGGTACGTTGTTAAACAGTGACTCTACATCCAATGAGGCTCTTATCCCCATGGCCCCGTGCTCCCCGCAGTAAGTCAACGAATTCCTTTACAGATTTCAGGCTGAAAGCACAAGGTATATAAGAAGTCAGCAAACAGTTGAGTCGCTTAGCCAGTTTGCATGTGGATGTGGATATCTGGCTGATGATTGGCTGAAGTGGGTTTCCAGGCTTGTGGGTCTTGATATTCACTTACCCATAACCAAACTGGTATTCCCCAATAACCTTTGGCAGGTGGAGTCCGTATTTCTTGATGTTCGCAATTTCGACCAATGTGTTTACCTTCGTTTTCAATTCGGTTGTAGTGTCCTTCGTTATCCTTTGGAATTTAGTTTGGTCAGAGAGTATGAGGTTCATTTTTGCCAGATATCCGTCTTTTTTAAGAATAACGTACATTGGCGACTTGTCACCTCTCCTGACGACTATATCCTTATTCTCACGAAGGCTCTTAGCTGCCGCTTTGAGCTCGGGGGAGAGTATGGTTCTTCTGTAGCTATCTCGAGTCTTTCCTCCATCTGCAATAAGTTCTGCTTGCAAGGTGTCTTTAGTGGTAACCTCCTTTTGCGTTTCGAGATCGAATATGTCATCCAATAGGATCTCCAACTCCACTTTCTGGGCCATCTAACTTGGTCTGGACATAACGTGACAGTATATATCCAGATTTAAGAGAGTGATTTGGTCCTCAGTGAGGTTGATTGAGGTCAAGTTTAAGAAGCCATCTCTGGGTCGTGGAATCGCTTTAGATCCTCCAAGTAATGCTGGCAATTTCATGATGATCCTTGTTTCGGTGCTATGGTTATGTCGATCTGTAAGGATATAGAGGTGTTGGTCGATTCGAGTATGAAAGTTTTCGACGATGTTGGTGTTTCTCTATTGGTCTGTAGCATGAAGTAGTTGCGTTTTGCTATCGTTGATCTCATTTTCTGCATTGTGTATCTGATTTCGAATCAGATCTTGGTGATATTTTGTCGTGAAAGCTTGCTTTCTTGCTGCTGGTCTTGCATTTTAATATTACTATATTTTGGTAGCAGTCTTTCTTGTAAACATATGTTGTTGAATATGACCGAAAGGGTACGATTAATAATTCTAACAAGAATCTTCTAAATATTTCTTACGGTTTTCTTCACTCTCGAGGGTAACTGAAACATTAACTCCAAAATTCATTCTGTGCCTGCTTCACCTTCCTGCATCTGTACTGCGCCTGCTTCACCCACCAGCATGTGTATTGTGCATGCTTCACCTTCCTGTATGTGTACTTTGCCTGCTTCACCTTCCTGCATATATACTGTGCCTGCTTCACCTTCCTGCATGTGTACTGAGCCTGTTTCACCCACCAGCATGTGTATTGCGCATGCTTCACATTTCTGCATGTGTACTGTACCTATTTCACCCACCAGCATGTTTATTGTGCATGCTTGACATTCCTGCATGTGTACTGTGCCTGCTTCACCTTCCTGCATGTGTACTGTGCCTGCTTCACCTTCCTGCATGTGTACTGTGCCTGCTTCACCTTCCTGCATGTGTACTGAGCCTGCTTCACCCACCAGCATGTGTATTCTGCATGTTTCACCTTCCTGCATGTGTACTGTGCCTGCTTCACCTTCCTGCATGTGTACTGTGCCTGCTTCACCTTCCTGGATGTATACAGTGCCTGCTCCACCTTCCTGCATGTGTACTGTGCCTGCTTCACCTTCATACATGTACTGTGCCTGCTTCACTTTCCTGCATGTGTATTGCGCATGCATCACCTTTCTGCATGTGTACTGTACCTGCTTCACCTTCCTGCATGTGTATTGCGCATGCTTCACCTTCCTGCATGTGAACTGTGCCTGCTTCACCTTCTTGCATGTGAACTGTGCCTGCTTCACCCTCCTGCATGTGTACTGTTCCTGCTTCCCCTTCCTGCATGTATACTGTACCTGCTTCACCTTCCTGCATGTGTACAGTGCCTGCTTCACCTTCCTGCATGTGTACTGTGCCTGCTTCCCCTTCCTGCATGTGTACTGTACCTGCTTCACCTTCCTGCATGTGTACTGTGCCTGCTTCACCTTCCTGCATGTGTACTGTACCTGCTTCACTTTCCTGCATGTGTACTGTACCTGCTTCATCTTCCTGCATGTGTACTGTGCATGCTTCACCTTCCTGCATGTGTACTGTACCTGCTTCACCTTCCTACATGTGAATTGTGCATGCTTCACCTTCCTGCATGTGTACGGTGCCTGCTTCATCTTCCTGCATGTGTACTGGGCCTGCTTCACCTTCCTGCATGTGTCCTGTGCCTGCTTCCCCTTCCTGCATGTGTGCTGTTCCTGCTTCACCTTCCTGCATGTGTACTGTTCCTGCTTCACCTTCCTACATGTGTATTGTGCATGCTTCACCTTCCTGCATGTGTTCTGTGCCTGCTTCCCCTTCCTGCATGTGTACTGTGCCTGCGTCACCTTCCTGTATGTGTACTGTGCCCGCTTCACCTTCCTGCATGTGTATTGTGCCTGCTTCACCTTCCTGCCCGTGTACTGTGCCTGCTTCAACTTCCTGCATGTATACTGTGCCTGCTTAACCTTCTTGCATGTGAACTGTGCCTGCTTCACCTTCCTGCATGTGTACTGTGCTTGCTTCCCCTTCTTGCATGTGTATTGTGCCTGCTTCACCTTCCTGCATGTGTACTGTGCCTGCTTCACCTTCCTGCATGTGTACTGTGCCTGCTTCCCTTTCCTGTATGTGTACTGTGCCTGCTTCACCTTCCTGCATGTGTACTGTGCCTGCTTCACCTTCCTGCATGTGTACTGGGCCTGCTTCACCTTCCTGCATGTGTATTGTGCCTGCTTCACCTTCCTGCATGTGTATTGTGCCTGCTTCACCTTCCTGCATGTGTACTGGGCCTGCTTCACCTTCCTGCATGTGTACTGTGCCTGCTTTACCTTCCTGCATGTGTACTGTGCCTGCTTCCCCTTCCTGCATGTGCATTGGGCCTGCTTCACCATCCTGCATGTGTACTGTGCCTGCTTCACCTTCCTGCATATGTACTGTGCCTGCTTCACCCACCAGCATGTGTATTGTGCATGTTTCACCTTCCTGCATGTGTACGGTGCCTGCATCACCTTCCTGCATGTGTACTGTGCCTGCTTCATCTTACTGCGTGTGTACTGTGCCTGCTTCGCCTTCCTGCATGTGTACTGTACCTGCTTCACCTTCCTTCATGTGTATTGTGCATGCTTCACTTTCCTGCATGTGTACTGTACCTGCTTCACTTTCCTGCATGTGTACTGTGCCTGCTTTACCTTCCTGCATGTGTACTGTTCCTGCTTCACCTTCCTGCATGTGTACTGTTCCTGCTTCACCTTCCTGCATGTGTTCTGTTCCTGCTTTACCTTCCTGCATGTGTACTGTTCCTGCTTCACCTTCCTGCATGTGTACTGTTCCTGCTTCACCTTCCTGCATGTGTACTGTTCCTGCTTCACCTTCCTGCATGTGTATTGTGCCTGCTTCACCTTCCTGCATGTGTACTGTTCCTGCTTCACCTTCCTGCATGTGTACTGTTCCTGCTTCACCTTCCTGCATGTGTACTGTGCCTGCTTCACCATCCTGCTATTCACATTTCTCATAGAGTAAGCCCTGCAGCGTATATATTTCTACGCACCATTAGTTCTCGATGTCTCCACTCCCATTTGTTCCAATATTCCCAAATTTCCGTTATAATTTTCTCGATATTTCCCCCATGATCTGATCTCCAGCAACAAACTATGAATTTCATTTCAATTTTTTTTTAATTATCAGCGAAAAGCGCCAAGCTGATTTCAATCCTAAAAAGAATCACTTCCGTGAATAAGTATTGAGGGCTTCGTCATCGAGCGAGCATTATATTCCCTAAGACTAATTTCATCAACTTATTTCGATTCCTACATAATATCCCCTTACAATACTATGACACTATCTCTTCTCCATTTAAAATCACAATTCATTCAGCTAGTCAACAAATACATAAATTTTCAAGAATATCCCATCAGCATTCATTTCTCCCTCTTCATTATCACCTGCATCATCTCCTCCTCATCATCTATTCACTATCACCAGCTATTCGTCATTCTCTCTCGAAATACTTGAATTTATCTGGAGAAACCTCCATTATCCTCTCTAACAAGCTCATCACTATTCCTGCATCATGTGACCAGCCACTGACCATGACCTATCATTGCTTCCTTACCATCCCCAGTTCATCCTTCAACAAAATTTCACAATCACTGACAATGATATATCACATTACCAACAATCTTTTATCTGCTCACCATTCTCTCATAATTATTTCACCATCCCGACTCACGCCCATCGCTGTCGGCGAAGGTGCCTCGCCAATCTCTCACTGTAAGTCTTCACCATTCCCGGCACGCGTGCCAGACTTGTCATGATGTGTAGGGCTGTATGAATCAAGCGGCCAGGCTGAGGAACTGAGGTGAATCCTTGAAGAGTTCTCTGGAGAGGAGAAAATATGGGAGGGAGAGGGACTTAACATGTGGGGAGAATGCAGAGTCGTGAGTAACAATGAACAGATTGAGAGAGAGAGAGAGAGAGAGAGAGAGAGAGAGAGAGAGAGAGAGAGAGAGAGAGAGAGAGAGAGAGAGAGAGAGAGAGAGAGAGAGAGAGAGAGAGAGAGAAGTGGTGGTGATGGTCTAGGCAGAACGACCTACACGACTGATGCAATCCTTGAATTCTACAACCCGCTCTCGCACAAGACAGTACACATAAGACTTATTGCTTTTAGTCACTATTTGGCTGATTAATAAGTACATATGTGGTATGTGCCCCGTTATATTTCTTTTTAAGGTACAAACTCTTCCTATAGATTTGCTAAACACCAGTTTTAATATTAGGAATTTATTTTTCAGTTTTATTAAACAATAGAGATTTTATGCAATATTTGACAATATCCTGAGTTACTTTACAATTTATTTAAATATTTTGGTTTTGTTTTATTATTTTTATAAAACTGTAATATCAATATAGGTAACATACTAAGAAGGTTATCTTGAGGTTATCTTGAGATGATTTCGGGGCTTTTTTAGTGTCCCCGCGGCCCGGTCCTCGACCAGGTCTCCACCCCCAGGAAGCAGACCGTGACAGCTGACTAACACCCAGGTACCTATTTTACTGCTAGGTAACAGGGGCATAGGGTGAAAGAAACTCTTCCCATTGTTTCTCGCCGGCGCCTGGGATCGAACCCAGGACCACAGGATCACAAGTCCAGTGAGCTGTCCGCTCGGCCGACCGGCTCCCGGTTAGGTTAGGTTGGGTCAGTGTTTTCTATTCAGCTTTTCAGGGTAAACTAAAATATTCGCAATAAATAAGTATTTCACATATGCACTTATTAATAAGCCAATATTGACTATAAGCAAGTGCGTCTAATGAAGACTTGATCCCCTAAACTTCGCCCGAGCTTTCAGTTTTTAAAACGGGAAGTGGAGGAGCTCCGGACTTCTGGTGTAATATTGGCTCCACCGGTGTTGACAGGAGCCCAGAGGCCCTAGCATAAGACTGACTCCACCGGTGTTGACAGGAGCCCAGAGCCCCTAGCATAAGACTGACTCCACAGGTGTTGACAGAAGACCATGGATTAACATCCATGGAATTTTGAATGTGTGTTATGGAGGGTCGACGGACGGTTTATTAAGGAGCAGACCCGACATTTTAGTACCCAAAATATAATGGTTCCAGGTGTTGGCTTGGCGCAGCCTTGCAGACAACGCACGAAGTAGGGAGTTGCATAATATAACTTAATTTATATCATTCTATAACCATATTTAAAGTTATATATTATCCTTGTACCCATGAAAGTGTCCGTATACTCATGGACAGAAGCCAGACGCTTAGGGCTAGCCTCACCCAACGTTGAGCCATGAATCATGTGCGGCTGACAGTTCCATAGGCCAGCGGGGATCAACCCGAGTTTTTTTTTTTTTTGCAAGGATATTCCTGCGCGAGCCCTAAGCCTCTTGTTGACCCAGAAAGTGTTACATGTTTCTGTTTTATTTAGGCGGAGTGTGAGTATTTATGACTCGTATGGTCGCTTCAGTAAGATTTTGCCCAATGTGTTTAACAACATCTGTTCTGTTGAACCTAAGTTGAAATCTTATTTGGTTTGTAACTCTGCACTGTTTAAATAATGTTCCAGTGATCTGTTGTGGTTGTAACTGCACTGTGTTAAATAATGTTGCAGTGGTCTGTCGGGCATTTCTCCATAGTCATGACATTTTCCCTAGTGAAATAATTAAGAAATGTTGGATTTTATGGATACCTCTTACGATGCGATTTTCTTGGTCAACTAAAATATTGGAAGCCTTCCAATGGAGGAGTTTCACAGTTACACAGTTTCCTAATAATACTTTTTATGTGAGAGAAAACATAATACATCTGACTCATCGCTCATTATCATGATGAAGCGCCCTGTGTTTCCCCAGACGCTGGTTCGATCCTCGTCCTGCTCTAATGATTTTATCAGTGATATATCACACTGTTGTGATTTCTTACTGTGTTTTACACCTTAATTTATCTTCCTTGATAAAAGCGAAGCGATCTACAAGACGTTTTTCATGCGGTCGTCTCTTCCAGGCATGATTTACACTCGTAGAGTAATTTAAACTTTATAAATAATATACTGATTAGAGTAATATGCATAATGAAAACGTAGTTCTTGGTAGTAACAACAGAAATAACAGCTCATTTTTTCTAATATTAATAATAAATAAATTATAATTGTTCTTTCATATATGTATCATCAATTCACCTCAAAATAACATTCTAATCACTTATTCAATTCAGTTCAAATTCAGTGTTTACAAATACTCTGCCAAACTTCCATATGTCAAAGAGCTTAAAAAATTCCCCAAATATATAGTCAAAAACGTTTTGAAACGCAGCTCGAGCTTGACCATGTAGTGAGAGTGTGATTTTTACGTAATAGTAAATAGCATTCTAAAACCGGTTAACGATGTGCCAGTATTTATGAGGGAAAAAAACAGTGGTAGTGAAGTACCCATTGGCGATATAGTGTCAAGTTATGGCCAGGATGTAGCACTCTTTATCTGGTAGAAAAGTCACTTGTTCTATATGATTTGTTCATTCGCGCCCTTGGGGAATACGTTATTGTAAATTTTGTAAATATTTATAGAATATAAAAATTACATGATATTGGAAAGGGGTTGGAGATTTAAACCCCAAACGGGAGCTCTGGTTATTGCAGCAGACTGTTACTTGCGTACCGGCGGACAGCGTCCCACAACCACTCTCTGACAGAACAAAGAGCCGACCTCGGCAGCCACATTCCCGCTACCGTCCGTCTTGTGTACACACCCTTCTTGAGCCGACGTGACTCTCCACTCTCGCCACTCCTCTCCTCTATTAGGAAGGATCTCCTAAATCCTCCTATTGTGAATGAGTGTTTACTGTCACTTTATCCGCAGCCGTGACTCTCTCTCTCTCTCTCTCTCTCTCTCTGGGAATTTCAAGAGGACAAGAGCAAAAGCCAGCTAACATATAAAACATTTAATACATAAATAAACGTAAATAATAACACATATGATAAGCAATATGACCGTACAACACTCTAAACTGCTACAACCCGGTACCACTCCAATATCATATCCTGACTTCACCAACTGTCCATATCAAGTGGCTGACTAACTCTTGGCGCACAATCTACTACCCCCTCACTGCTTGGGGCTTAAATCCTGCCACACCAATACTGTACCCTCAACCCTAAAAGTATATGAAACTCTGCTTGGAGCTGAAATACCTGAAACATCTACTTAAGTCTTCCCCAACAAAAGAAGAAATCAATCTCTCACCTTACACTGCATTTACATGTATATGTACTTGTATATGTATATATATGTATATTTACATGTACATGCATTCACATACATTTACATGTATGTGAATGCATGTGTGTGTATATGTGTGTGTGTGTATGTATATGTATGGGTATAAAGTATATATGGAAGCTGATCAGAATTACATTTCACCTTTGTGAATGTACATTAATGACACTATGTAAAAGACACATCTAACACTTTATGTAGGGCATACGTAAATCTGTGTATCTATGTATTTACGTATGT